CCAAGTTTTTGATCCGCGAAGAGTATCTACTCAAATTAATACCACTGGTGGAAATGGCGGAGGACCTCGAGAGTCTACCGGATCTACATCGACTGTGCAATATCATGAAAGCCCTGATTCTGATGAATGATAACACCATCATCGAGCATTTGGTCACTGACGACATCATCATTGGAGTTGTCGGAGCACTCGAGTACGATCCTGACTTTCCCACGCACAAAGCCAACCATAGACAATATCTATCGGATGAATCAAGATATAAAGAGGTGGTGGAAATCAAAGACCAAAACATCAAGCGGAAAATCCGACAAACGTGGCGGCTGCAGTACCTGAAGGACGTGGTCCTGGCTCGCATCCTGGACGATCCCACCTTTGGAGTTTTGAATTCCCTCATCTTCTTTAATCAGGTCGACATTGTACAACATCTCCAAGGCAATACTGCTTTCCTGAAAGAGCTTTTTGCCATCTTCAGTCATGACAATCCAGATACCAAGCGGAAAGAGCAGGCGGTGCATTTCTTGCAGCAATGCGCTGCAATTGCGAAGACCCTCCAGATGCAGTCGAGAGCAAATCTTTTGAACAACTTCATCGCACACGGCCTCTTTTCAGTCATCACTTTCGCGGTAAAGCATCCAGAGCCGTCAATGAGAACGACTGGCATTGACATCCTTGTGGCGCTTCTCGACCACGACCCTAATATGATGCGAGGTTATATGCTCAAGGCTGTATCCGAAAGAAAGGTCCCACTGACCGACACACTGATCGACTTACTGCATGCTGAAACGGATCTCGGTGTAAAAAACCAACTGGCTGACGCGATCAAGATCTTGCTGGATCCGCAACCCCCTTCCAACGACCCTATGGGCAACCGGCAAAACTCCGAATTCATGACGAAACTCTCGAGGCCGCAGATGACTCCAACTCAGCAAGCGAACGAGCAGTTTGCGCAGGATAATTTTGACCGATCGTGTCGAAAGTTGTTCCAACCACTGAAAGAGCTCGAATCTAGGGACTCGATGCTGAATTTCAGCTATCAAGAAGTGTCGCTCTTCTCATACTTGGTAGAGATACTGACCTTCTTTGTGCGACAACATTCCATGAGAAGTCGGCCTTTTGTCCTGTCTGAGAATCTGGCGCCGAGAGTAGCTCAGCTGTTGCAGGTGCCCCAGAAGCCACTGAAACTGACGGCATTGAAGTTTTTCAGGACAGCAGTCTCATTACAAGATCAATTTTATGCCGCACAGATCATCAAAAGCGGAGCGTTCGACGCCATTCTTGGAATTGTCATCGACACTATGCCGCGGGATAATCTCCTCAATTCAGCATGCCTGGAAATGTTCGAATTTATCCGAAAGGAGACGATAAAGCCGATCGTTATCCATCTTGGGGAGCATTATCGGCAAAAGATTCAGGACATTACTTACGTCGACACATTTGAGAATCTTCTCAAAAGGTACGAGCAGTTGACGACCGACCACCCAGAGCCAGAACATACTTTGTTCAGTCAGGACGACGCAACGCCGCCTATGGGTCGGACACATATCAATGGTCGGTGGCAAGGTCTACCAGAAATGGATGCCAGCGAAGAGGACTATTTCAACGCCTCCGATGACGAAGAGGATGAAACGGAGGAAGATTCTGAACGCGACACTATAAAGGACGTGTCTGAAAGGGTGAACCAGTGGACCCGTAAAAGGATCAAGGCTGAAATGATGAACGGAAGCGCCAGTCCGATCAGCAAGCCGCTTGTAGATTATCCTGATGATGATGAGGACGAAGCAATGGATGCCAAGGCTGATGCGACCCCCAACACTCCACTAACCCCAGACAGCAGTAAGGACGTTTCTTCTCCCGAAGCAAGAGCAACCCCCGAAAAGAAGTTGCAGCCGTCACCGGAGATTAAGTCAATCGCCGAAAGTGAATCCCAACAACCCCCTGAGAGGATGACAGAGAAACGAAGACGGCAAGAAGATGACGATGATGATGAACTCGGCAAGCTTTCTGGTGGTCCTAAACGCAGAAATTCAGCTTCCAGTACTTCCAGTCTTTCGTCCCAAGGCGCATTACGGCGGAAAAAGGGCTTCTTGCGATCGAAGCAAACCGGCGGTGAGAGTTCCCCGATGTCGACAGGTAATACGGAGAGCGAGAATCACGCCGACGGCCGAAGACCTCGCAAAATCGCCATCAGTCTCTCCAATGTGACCAACAAATCGGACGATACGCCTGGCACGAAGACGGACATCAAGCTCCAAAACAAACAGCAATCAGTGACGACCAAGGAGTAGGAAACGGATTAGAAGGTTGCCGTTATATGCGAGCACATTGCTTCTCTTTTTGGCGATGGTGTTTGATGGAGTCCACGAACTACTACTGTACAATATGACCAATATCTTGGAGGTTACGAGGTAGAACGCGGGATGCGGTTCGATTCAGAACAATAGAGGGATGAGGGCAAAGTCGGGGGTTGACATCGATGTCTCCGATTTGCATAAATGCATGATGATAATGCGCAGCAGCCGCAATTCTGGAAGCACCAAACGACGATTCAAGCACAGATATTTGGATGCCCGTTGTTTTGCCATGGCAATTGGGAGCTTCTTCATTGCGGCATGCGGCAAGGATATTGGGGTTGGAGGAAAGGGACAGAGATGCAAGATGCAAGATGCAAGATGCAAGATGCAAGATGCAAGATGCAAGACGCAGGTGGCAATGCGAGATGCAAGGTGAGAGGGCTCTTCTCAACCATGAAGAGTAGAGCCGCAACAGACCGGTGGAGGCAAGGTATTTTCATCCACTCCGACCGGCTCTCTAGCCTCCATGCCTGTAGTCCACCACGGGTGGCCTGATGCAAATGGAAAGATGAATTTTTGTGTATATATTTGCGGTACAGTTTTCGTTCTATTGCCGTTCAGCATCAGCGTCGTGTTCTCTAGTGGCGTCTCCCGACCGATGTTGAATCTCAGCCCGACCCTCAAACGTGCCAAACATGCCTAGAAACACCGTACCATGTTTGTCACATTTGCCCACGCCGTATTCGTTCGTATTCAGTCTCATTCCGGGCTTCCCACCTCAGTCAACATGTGCAAATCCTGACTCATCGCGATCCTCAGGCCGCAAGGAGATCTCGGCTACTAACTAGACTGTCAAGTAGTCATTCGCTGCCTGAAGTAAGCCGTCGGGTGAACATTGAAATCTGGGACCTACATGATCCTTTGCAGGGCTTCGTTTCCAGCCGGAACATCTGTCTATCGGTCGGTCAATCAGTAATTCGACCGCGTATGTGTAGGTTCTCAGAGCGTCCCTCATCGCCCGATATAAATATTAACACGTTTGCAGCAGCTGAGACTGTCTGTCCCATTCTTCCCGACCATCATTCCCGAGCGTGAGCTGTCAGACAACGGGGCGCCACAGTCCAGTCCTTGAAGGAACGCCTTCCCGAGCTCATTTTCCGTTGCCCTTAGTTGTTGATAGGCGCTCTGTCTATTGCTCCTTGTACGTCTCACCAACCGTCGGTGCCGGCGCCATGACGGGCGAAACAATCTCGTCGTATAGCTTCGACCATGTGATCCTGTTGCTGGACACGCCGGACTTCGAGAACCTGCCGTCATGGTTGAGTGACAATTTTACCGTCATTGAGGGTGGGACACATGCCGGTACGTTCATCGATGAGAGGGCCGCGAATCGGTTAGTTATAGACCGATGAATCCTCACCCTCTGGATTTCGTGTCCCGTCTTCCCTGTTTCGTCATCCCCTTGACTCTCGATCTAGATAGCATCTAACATTCCTTCTGCGAAGGCGGCTCCTCCCGGAACAAACTCATCATCTTTCCTGACGGTACTTACATCGAACTGATAAATTGGATCACCGAGCCCAAAGAATTCTTCGACTGGGCACCAAAATCACCCGGATTGATTGACTTTGCACTCACAACTCCCTCTTCGGCACAGGACACCTTTGACGAGGTTACGCGGCGCTTAGAGTCGAAACTACAGCCTCCTTCCCTAGCCCAGACCTCCTCAACAGAGGGAGTCTCAGAATCCAATCCCGGTGCGGGGGACGGTGGACTGGGAGTGCGTTATAGGCCTCCCCTCTTTGGCGGTCGCAAGCGCAAAGACGGCCAAGACGTCCAATGGCATGTCACGAAGCCGCTCCTGGACGATTCTGCAGAAAACGTACCTAAACCGCTGGAAAAATACTTCCCAACGGGACGACTCGATACGCCGTTCTTCTGCCACGACGTGACGGATCGGAACCTGAGGGTGCCGTACTCTGAAAAAGAAATATCCGAGACGCACCCCTGTGGGGCGAGGGGGATCCTCTCAGTCGAGGTCCTCGTCCCCGAGGAGAAGATTGACAGCTACATACGCCTGTATACCTCCGTTCTCGGCATGAAACCGAAAGTCCAGGGCGGGTACAGGTACAGTCCGATTACGAGCGTGAGCTTCTTGCTCAGCACGCCCAATCCGGACGAGAAGGCCATGAGGCGCCTAAAAGGCAGGGTGGGCGTCGTGATTCGTGCACCGAGGGATGAAGAGGATGAGGCGTGGTTGAAAGAGAGGGGCGTGGGGATCAGAGAGGTGAGGCTTTTCGCCGAGGCAAAAGGCGAGGATGAGGTTGATGAGATTCCTCTGGACAGCGAGGGGATCGGAGCGAGTTTGGTGCTGGTGAAAGAGCCGGTTGGGTTTTGGGAGGGCGGGTAGCGAGCTAGCCGAGCAAGTCAGGAGAGAGGAACCATTTGTTTGTGCCTATGTTGCGACCCCAGTGTCGATTCAAAGGAGCGGATCAACACACGACGAAGGCTTGGAGGAAGTCCAGCGAGCGAGGCGCTGGGCCACCTTGAAGATGCTGGCCACAGTCCCGCAATCAAATCACGAGCACAGTCGACATGTCCTTTGCGTTGAAATGAGCGATCCATGCGCAGCACTGCGGCCTCGTCCTGCTCCTCTTTGTCTAATCCGTTCATCCCACTTCATTCTACCGATCTCTCTGTCTGTCCCTATCACAATTTACTACCCGCTTTCCCCCTCTCATCCATGCTGCCCGGATGTGTGCCAACCCTCAACCTCGCGCCGCCATCAACAGAGATGTCCTCCCCGTTGACATAGCTGCCGGCGCGACTGCACAGATAGACCACTAGGCCGGCGATGTCCTCGGGCCTGCCCAGGCGGCCAGCGGGGTTCTGCTTGCCGACGACGTTCTCGCCGCCGAGATAGTCGATCTGCGGGTTCGCCAGGCGGCTGGGGAAGAAGCCCGGCGCGATGATGTTCGTGGTGATGTTCTTGGGGATCAGCTCGAGTGCGAGGTTGCGCCCCAGGTGGTGCGCCGCAGCTTTGGACACGGAGTACATGATGGCGCCCCGCGCCCCGACGTGCGGCACGATGATCCCGCCGACCGACGACGTGATCAGGATCCGCGAGGGGTCTTCGGGCGTCGCCGCGCTGGAGAGGAGTGGGACCATCCTGTGTCGATGCATCGAACGAGAAGAAGAAGTCAGTAATCCGTACCCATCATCCACATCATCGTCGAGGGAAAGATAGAGAAGAAAGACCCCAAGGGCAACAAAACAGCGGAGTAACGGAATGGGCCATTTGGGAAAGAGAGCACATACAGCCTGCACAAATTAAACACGCCCCTAACATTCAAATCCAAAGTCTTGATGCTCTTCCAATCCTCGAAGCTCTCAAACGGCCCGCCCCAGCTCGCCGCCGCGTTCGCCACGAGGATATCCAGGCCCCTGCCGGGCCTCTCGTCGCGCTCGATCTCGGCCTGCACGTCCCGGACGAACTTCTCGATCTGGTCCGTGTGGCCGACGTTGGCCGGGATGCTCACGGCTTTGCCCTGGATGTTGGGCAGCGCGTTGAGCTGGGTGACGGCCTGTGCGAGATTCTCGGCGTTGCGCGCCGTGATGATCACCTTGGAGCAGCCGGCCTGCAGAAAGGCGGTCGCGCAGTACAAGCCGATGCCGCGGGAGCCTGGTTGCCAGCGTCATGGCGCGTGAGCATTTATGCGAGACAAGAAACCATTTCTGGGGACCTTTTTGGAGGGTCTCGTGGTATGTGCAGGGAGGGGGGAAGCATGGGAAAGGGAGGGAGGACGGATAGATGACCTCCATCTGACCGGCGGCAGAGAAAGGTACATGGAGGACTACGGGGAAAGCATAGCACGACGAAAAGAACTCTTGTCTTGCCCGGTGTATACCCAAAACGAAATGTTGAAAAGAGATGAATAACGCACCTCCAGTGACAACGGCGATTTTCCCATCGAGCCTGAAGAGGCTGTTGAAGTCCTTGATCTCGGCCATCGCAATGTCGCGCTCGTTCCCTTCCCTTCCCTTTCCTTTTGCAAAGCAAAGAAAAAGTCAAAAACCCTTCTGAGAAGGGGAAACCAAAAAAGGTGCGAGAGTGACCACGAAAATCCACTCGGGTCAAGGATCGTCTCTTCCCTCCAGATTCAGCACTCAACTCCCTCCCCTTGAGAAGGAAAGGTAGGACCAAAGATAAGTACGGCGTTACGCCGCCGTTGCGCAACGCGTCAGGTCGCCGCCCCTGTACGTAACAGGCAGTGAGGCCGACTTGCACGCCTGGTGGCCTTCTTCGAGGCTGCAGGCTGATTCCCGAAATTGACTCCTGTTTGGCGGTTTTGAGAACTTCTGGTAGAGATTGCCTGATTATCTCGTTTGCCTCTCGAACGGTACCTTGATTGACTGGATGGCCGTGGGCTGGCCCGTACTGCGTATAACATTGCCCACTGAAACTTAAATGATGCCGACACCTCCGAGGATATCCCAAACAACATCAAAGTCGATGACTTACCACTGGTTTGTGCAATGACACGAAGGACGCTGACTCGCAGCAAGATGGGGGAACTTGGCAAGGCTGAGCCATGGTCCGAAATCCAACCTCGGTCGTAGACTGGCCAATCATACGTACCGGATCAATTTCCCCAAGGCTGCGAAGCTAGTATATTGCTATGATTCTATCGTATATTTTACAACCTGATGATCGATGCTTCATACCATATCATCAGGCTCCACATACACTGCTTCAAACCCGATACAACTGTCCCGTGCCGTCAAGCGATACGGCAATGATCATATTCCAGCCAAACAGTCCATCAACCACACCCGGAGAACTCAAAATAACTGATCCAGGCTTCCTCTTTGCGCCATGTCCTTGCTAAATCTGCGAGGCATCGCGCCATATGTTGGTCCACCGACCGATGCACGAGCACGTTCGTGTCTGTCTGTGCTCGATCTTCGTCGCGGTTTGCTGATGCTGGCACGATATCTCAGTCCCTCAGGGTTTGTCTTGGATCTTGATCTGCAGACTGCAGACCCGCTGGATAAAAGCATTGGTTTTTGAGATGCCGTGCCGTCGGCCCACATCCTGATTCCGGGGCTAAGATCCCCCAAATCACATGGTTTGGGCCCAGCATTTGGATCCGCCACAACGTTGGTGTAACTGGGCTGGTCCTTTGACGTGCGTGGCTCGTCTCCTCGTTTCTTCTCCCTCCTCGGTCTCTTTGGTGCCCACTGGCTTCTTTGTTGTCGGTTCTGAAGCTCTCTCTGCCGATTGATCATGTTTCGCTCTTGCTCACTCAGCATGACTTTTCGAGGTGGCGAATCGGGGGGTATCTCGAACTCGGATTCTGAGAATCCTAAACCGGATGTCGAGACCTGAAGTCGAGGTAAGCGGGGACCTATTGGCTTCGGTGGAGAAGAGTTCTCGGGTGCGATATGGCAGTGGTAACAGCTCGGGTGCCTATGGAGATGGTGGTGTGATGATGACGCCATACTTGGGCGTCCCAGAGCGGCGTTCTCGTCAGTGGTCGTCCCAGAAAGACCTCTCCTACAATGGCCATGGGTACGCACTAATTTGCGAGGAGACCTGTCAATATCATTTGCTAGGCTGTCCAGATCACCCGGCGGCACTGGTCTTTCTTCTCTCACACGCTCGGCGGAGCGTCGGACTGGAACTGTAAAGACTTGCCCTGGGTGATAGGTCGCATGACCAGGATCAGCAGACGGAGCTGGTACGGTTTTAGATCTCTTCGCTTCGATCGAAGCGGCAACCTGCGCGAGCGAGTTTGGTAAGATATCCAAGGAGTTGATAGGTATGATTGTTACAGGAAGTTGGACCGCCACTGTCTTGAACAGTTTCACTGTGACAACGACGTTGACAAAGTACCGAACCTCGAAATACCTCCCAGTGCTGATGGTGACGTGACCGCGCGGGGCTTCCAGTTCAATTGTGCGAACATCTGATGAATGAGACGGCACTCCTTTCCAAGTGTTTGATTTCTTCAGGGTGGTTCCGCTCACGATCTCGGTGTCTGTCCGCTTTGGCAGACGAAGATAATTTGCGGTCTTCTCTGCAGTACCAGCTGGAGCGTGTGTGTACCAGAGCGTCGTCTTCTCCAATTGGACCTCGATTTTCTTGACTGATTTGGCCGTGTTGTTTGCAACGTGGACGTCAATGAAGATCAACGCGCCATTGACCCAGGTCTGGCGATGAAGGCCAGCGGTCAACTTCACTGTTTGGATATCAGGCTCTCTAGCCAGGTACAGCGTATCCGCGGCCAAAAGCGGACTCGCCAGACTTGCCAATGCCTTCTCGGGATCGTGAACAGTGAGCATCTGAACATTCTATGTCTGTCTGATCACGGTTCGTTTGTCTCCGGTCTTGACCACAATCGAAGGGCACAGGAGATAGCGAATGGAAGCTTGTCTCGAAGCGTAAGGAGGAGGACCGAGCTTCAGAGGCAGGTTGACGCAGAAGGGAACGAGCGACGAAGCCGACTTCATCTCCCACCACAGATCTGCACCAGGCTCAGGGGTCTGCGATGTGACCAGGGAGGGTGGAGGAGGATTCTCTTTGTCCAATAGTTCTGTTGCAAGCGACAGAAATACCCAGCGTCGGCCATCGTTGACTTCTTCCACGCCAATGATATCAACGCAAGCTTTGGAGATGTAGATGGGCTTCGTCTTGGGCTTTCTTGCTACTCCGCCATCCACCTGAATGGTGAGTTGTCCTTCCACTGTGCCACCTCCTACAAAAAGTGGAGAGGGGACGCTGACCGAAAGCTCTACCCGAGGGTGACGACTGCTACCGTGGTCCAATACTTCGTGCGGAGGCGAGGTGCGAATAAAGGTGCGCGTGAAGGCAGGACGGAGAATCTCAGATGATTGAGCCGCACGACCTATTGATCGCCGAACAGGGGACTCGGCTCGACCTGTGTCGCGGACCAGGGTATCGGTGCCATCGAGTTCTGCGATTCTCCATGTGGGCAGCTCACGCATCGAAGCTTGCACAGGACCGCCAAGGCTCCGGGAGAGAATACTGGCGGAAGACTTGCGCTCGGGGACGGGTCTATGGGGCAGGCTGACTGCGCTTGTTGCACGACTTCCAAGACCTGTTGTATAATTTCTGGGGCCGGCACGAAACGCTGTTGGTGTAAGATACTCGGAGGAGGTGGTATGTGAAAGCGCATCCGCTTGAGGCGCGGGGGTTGCGGGTCTGTCGATGCAACCGTCATTCCACTCTCGCACCGAATGGCCCAGTGTCGCCGTTTTGGAGGAGCCGGAAACTTCTCGTATGTCTGTAAGTTGATGGACTCGATGCCGGGCTAGAGCAGATATGGGGCGAGTGAATGCCTCCATCGAAGCCAGTGGAAATCGCGCTAGCTTTCCGTCATCCGTCGACATTCGCTTAGGCAGATGGAATCGCTTCGTGGGATCTGAAGCTGAAGCTTTGTGAGCGACGGCTGCCAGAGGCGTCAGATGAATCCCTCACCTTTGGCCGTGGAATTCTCCATCAGGGGTCGCTTGATCCAGTCATCTGATAGGAATATAGGTAAGAGGTTCCTTGAATCCGTCAAATAGCAGTCTCGAGTCACAAACAAAGAAATGAGTGTTGAGTTACAAGTTTTCTCTTGCTGGTGACCGAGGGTAGCAGGCTATGAGCCCTCACAAGGGAGGGTCCTGTGAGGGAAACGGGCACCAGGAACCAGTAGCACCTGCTGTACATACATGATGCGTGAGACAGCGACAAGAGGTATGAGTGCGCCTGCTTTTCCCCATAAAAGCAAAAAACAGGCAGGAGGCAGGAGGCCATTTCAGTCTGCAGTCTCGAGTTGCTCCCAAATGCCAATTCAATCATTGTGCACTCACTGAAAACTCACCCATTCTTCATTGTGATCTGTCTCTTTCTGTCACACAATGTATTTACAGACAACCCCACAGCCTCTCCAAACCGCCAACGCAGGAGCGCTGGAGGAGGCAGTTGACCGCGACATCCTCAAGCTTCCCGGAAGCTCGGGTTGGCGACAAAAGTCAATTCGAACATGCATACTTGTAGTGCAGGTGATCCCTTTGGTCGAGCGGCTTAACCATGGTCTGCTCCTTGCCTCCCCAGCCTCCCAGCCTCCCACCAAGTCAGTCATGTGTGCAGTTGGCGGTGAATGATGATCGAGACTTGGGACGAGCGAAACTTAGACCGTCATTTTCCCTGGAGGCATGGAGAAGTGTCGAGAAGGGCTTTGGAACTGATGCTGGCTGTGGTTCAAGCTTGAGGCAATCATGTCTATTCTTCCCTCACCCGTGTCTCTGCTGTCGTCAAGCAATACGATCGTCACACAAACGAGCTTTGTCATCACACGTTGACTGATGCAGGGAGGTCCATGGTCCACGGAGAAAGACGATGCTGGAAGAGCGGGGAAGCCACCTGGCGAGCTGGCTAGCTGGTCCTAAGGAGCTTCCTAACAAGTACAAGTAGAGCCAGCACCTGAGCTGGTGGGCTTGTTACCAGGCTTGCAGGGACCCCGGAGGGTGCTTGGAGGTGCTTGGAGAGGCTAGCCCATCAAGCCCAGGCCCTCCCGCAGCGCTGCTGTTGGTTGAATTAGGCTCATCTGACGCAGCTCACCTACAGCCCGGCGCTCGCCTGACGTTGGATCAGCCTTGTTTCACTTTTCCTGTTTAACGGCTAGTCGGCGCGGCTAAACCACTCCAAGGCACAGTTTGCGGGCACCTCTCGCTGCCATTGGATCCCGCACATGGAAACCACGGCGTGAAAATTTTTTCCCACGTGGCGCGTGCCCGACTTCTCTCCAATCCCGCCCCTTGCTTCATCTCGTCTTTTCCATCCTCCTCCGTGGTTTCGAGAAAGAAAAAACTTTTCTCGCCCTCGTGAAGGACCCTCCCCCAGCAAAAAGCATGGCCTAATGCTCGACCTGCTTCCCTTAATCTGACGGCCTTTGAGACGACCTATGGCGCTGCAATGCTGTCCGCGCCCCATCCACTTGCCTGGACTGACCGCCTCATTTGAGAGGTTGATGGCGCACAGATCGTCCGGTTCTCCTCACCTTCTAGTTCCAACCAACTTGCCTGTTTGGGATTTTTTTTTCCCGCCATCTCGGATGTGGTCGTCGCAGGCTTTTTGCCCCTCTCCAGCCGGAAGTCCAAGTCACGTCTGAATCAGTTTGAGCTGGGGGTTCACAAGGGCGCAACCCACGGGAAAGCAGGGACGAACACCAATTCTTGGAGCGCTCTTGCATCGGTTTTCATAAGCCTTGCTTTTGCCTCCCACACCATCCCGTGCTCCCTCTTCCTCCCGTAAAAATCTGTTAGCTCATTCGATTACCTCACCCCCGTTTCATCCCCAGGCAGTTCATTGCACCTTCATCTCTTATCTTTATTTCCTGTTGTCAACTATCTCTCTATTTTACGTGTTGGATATCAGCTCACCTCAGGCGGCGCGTCTATTCTTGCTTTACCCCTGGTCGCGTATCTCGACAAATCGATCTCCTTATCGGCGCTTATGCCAGGAACATTGCATTAGACTCGGTTGCGTGGAGAAGGAATGGGCTCTGTCGCAAACACCGACGTCACGCTACCTGACGCTGTGATTCCAAAACGGGAGTCGAGTGGTGAACAGTATTCATCGTCGTCGGCCTCGACCCCTGAGCCGGCGGACGACACAGCAGGCGACGCGGGCCACACGTCTAAAGAGCCAGCTCCTGCGCCCAAGCGCAAAGGAGGCAGAAAGCCGGTAAGTCCTAGGGAAGCATTGCTAGAATAGATTGCGACCACTGACTCGCCGGACAGATTTATGCGACCTCAGAGGAACGCAAACAACGTAATCGTCAGGCGCAGGCGGCTTTTCGCGAACGACGGACCGAGTATATCAAACAACTCGAGTCGACCATCCAGCATCATGAGGAAACTCTCCAGAATCTCCAACAGAGTCACCGCGCAGCGGCCGACGAGTGCCTAATGCTACGGTATAAGAATTCGTTGCTTGAACGGATTCTGCTTGAGAAAGGTATGCCCTGCTCTGCGCTCTCTCCTTGTGCGATCTCAATCCTTGACGCTTTCCTGCCAGGCATCGATGTCCAAGCCGAACTCGCGCTGAAGGGGAGTCCCACCCTTCGACCACTTCGCGCGCCTCCCATTACTGGGCAGGCTTCGCCGATGCAAAAGGCAATGCTCAACAGACAGCAGCAGACGAGACATCGACCAACGATGGCACCCCCAATTCAGACTGTAAATCCTCCTTCCCATGTTGGAGGCACGCGAACTTTCGCAGGCTCACCGACAGCACAGCCCACTCCTCCCTCGCAGCACTCCTCACCTTCCACAGCAAGATCGCCTGGTTTTGCTCTGCAAGGTGGGATGACCTCACCCGCAACGGAGATGGCAACTCAGCAGCATCAACAGCAGCCACAGGGCCGAACCATACCCCCGCCGCATCGCGGCTCATTCCTTCCGCAGCCTAGGCCTCAGGGACATCTTCTGTCTGGGCCGACTACATCACAGGCTTATCCTCCACGCACTCAACAAGAGACCTACTATTCAGCCTCATTCCAGAAACACTACACTCAACTCGGCAAGCTGACCCGTTCCATTTTGCCCTCCTTCCGCATGTGGAGCTTTGTTCGTCCTAGACTGATTCCGTGAGTACAGAACAGGAGTACGATGCGCAGGCCGATATTCTGGACGACCTAGACGGCGACGACGTCGATACCGATAGCTTCATCCCGAACTTTCGACTCCCTCCCACAACCACTTCAGCGAGCATGTCCATGGGCATGCAAGCCTCACCTCCAACAACTACTAGTGCAGCTAGCGACGGCGGAGGCGGTGGTGGTGGTACCATCGATCCGTACGATCCCATCCTGGATGCGGACCCATTTGGTCTGACTGCCAGTATGCATTTTCCCAATCCTTACCCTTACCCACCTACACACGCCAGACGGTGAAGATGCGGGCGTTTTACCATGAAAAGCATTTTCACAATGCTAGTCTGAGCATGAGTATTGATATTGATTCATGATCATCTACCAAATGGGCATTTAGCGATGGTGCATTTGCTTGCCAGCCGGGCGGGCAAGAGGCTGAAGTGACGAGGGTTTTCTGCGCGTATGCCCGTTTTGTTCAGAGCGACACGCAAAATTATGACCACAGCAGTTTTATTGCTTCCCTGTAGATACCTATTGCACGAACTTGGGAAACCTATATAATGCTTTTGCTGCCTTGCTGCCATGTGGCTTTGCTTCTCGTACGTCGCCAAAAAGGCAACCTGCAACCTATTTGCTCCATTGCAAGCCGTCATGCCCTAGCCCTAAGTAATGCCAAGATTTCCCCAAATGCAGTTAGCGCGTCCAGTGGTCTGTTTTCGAAATCTGCGCATGATTTCGCTCTTGCGTCCGAGGTTCTGGCTGAATTTCATCACCGCTCCATCAGACTCAACCTCATCTCGACTTGACAAGGTCCTACTACGTGGTAGTTGAGGACGTTGTCTTGGTCGGGCGTCTCATCTCCTTCTTCCCAAGTTGGAGTTTCATTAACAGGAAGCCTTCACGGAAGGCGCTCGAGAGGAAACGTCATGGCGGACGTCAAGAGCAAGGTGAGCATCAGTAGAAAATGAATCTCCAACAATTCCATCCGTCATCACCCTTGCCATTCAATCGCTGACAGCAATCTTTCTAGAACCTCTACGAGCTGTTGGGTATGACCCTCGACCTGCGCCATTTGATTCAACGCAATTGATTTTGATGATTCAGGAAATACGTCGGATCAGGATTCTGACCGCGAGCCTGATCCACCTACAAAGGCCATTGACAAGCCAGCCGCTCGTCACGGTAAACGCGATGCGCCAAAGGAAGCCCCAGCTGCTCCCGCCGAACGCGCGAATGTAGCTCCCCGCGGTCGTGGTGGTCATCGTGGAGGTGGCTTCAGTGCCAATGAAGCAGGTATACATACACAACTCATCAATTGGAATTTGAAATAAATTACGTGTCGCTAACTGTCCATGAAGCTTTCCGCGACAGAGCCACAGGCAGGGGGTACAATCGTGACCAACCCACCGAAGGTGGCGGCGAGGATGGCTACGGCAACCGTGTTGGTCGCGATCGAGGCCCTGGCACTCAACGTTATGGCCGCGGTCCGCGTGGACCTCGTCGGGGTGGTGATCGCCACAGCCGTACTGGTATAGCGTGAGTGCGCTTGAGCATAGTGCTCGTTCCTGTGCTGACCAAGCCAGCAATCACCCGAAACAAGAGGGACATGGATGGGGTGAAAACACTGGCGATGGCGAATGGGCCGATGAAAAGGCGGGCGATGCCTTGGCCAAAGAAGAAGAAAAGCAAGGCGGATGGGATGCTGGCGCCCAGAACCCAGCGTGGAACGAAAATGCTGAACCGGCCACT